TTAACGAAGGCACAATGTTCTCATATATTAAAGGGATGAATAATTTTATATCAATATATAAGAACAAAACCTATTTAAATTCGGTGGAGATACTAACGGGAACACAATGGAAATGGTAGGCTTTCCCTCGTTTTTCTTGAGATTTCACAGCTAGAGTAGTCAAAACTGCACTGAGCAGGCATATGGAGAAATTCGTATGTGACTGAGGGAACATTATTTCAGATGTGCATGAAAATTTTACAGAAATTGACCATCTTCTAAGCGGTAATGGAAGCTATTTTCAAAAAAAAAATAAAATAAAATTTCTGAAATTTACATTTTCTGACCACAATAACCAAAGGAGACATTAAATGAAAAACATTCTTCCAAATAAACTTGGAACAAAAAGAAAAGAAAAAGAAAACCAACTCTTCAGTTGTAGAATATTTTTTAAATATTGATATGATGCAGCTAAATTTTTCCTCCTGTGAAAAATCATGGCCTGAGAGCGGAGCTTCTTGCCTCAGTGCTGTTGACATTTGGCGGTACAGAGTTCTGTGTTCAGGGGCAGGTTAGAGAGCAGCAGCATCCGTGGCCACCACCAGCAGATGCCAGGAGCAGCCTCAGTTGTGGGAACCAAAAGTGTCTGCAGACATTGTCCAGCCGCCCCTGTGTGGTACCCTGGTTCCTGTTTGAAACCCTGCCCCAGATGCCTCTGTACCACAAAAACAACGAGCAAAGAAATAAACTGCTTCATTTGAAAAAGCTAGATAAAAAGCAAATAGCAAAAGACACCTGAGATCCAAACAGAGTCCAACTGATAATGATCAAGAAGTTGTCAAATTGATTTTTTTAAATATTAAGAACTGGTTCTTTTGATTGACAGTTAAGATATACAAACTTTTGAGAAAGAAAGATTTTAAAAGCAGTGTACCTTGACAGTAGTATACTTTAGAATTATAATTGTAATATTGTAATATTGAGGGATCTAACAACAAAACCATAAAGTGGACTAAAAATATAATAGTCTAGTGTTAAAATCTGAATGAAATGGATAATTATGTATTGGAGGTGTATGTGTGTGTGTGTGTGTGTGTGTGTGTGTGTGTCCACATACACACATGACCAAAACTGACTCAAGAAAAAATGGAAACTAGAATAGACCTATTATCCATGGAAAATATTGCAAAAACACACAAACAAAAACACTGGGCCTCCCATGGCTTTTAATATTGTTAATATTTTAAAATTTTTTTTTAGTTGTAGTTGGACACAATCCCTTTATTTTATTTATATTTGGTGCTAAGGATTGCACCCAGCACCCAATACATGCTAGGCAAGTGCTCTACTGCTGAGCCACAACCCAGCCCCCCTCAGATGGTTTTATATCTAAACAACACTTAACATTTCTCTACGGCAAATATAATATCTATGCTGTATATTGTTCCAAGGTATAAAG